CCACCTCTCCGTTTCCTCTTCTTTCTGTATCCTCTCCTTCTCTCTGGCCATCTCTTCTTCTATCTTCTTCAATTTGGCCGCCTGCTCCTCCTTCAAGGCCTTCTTCTTGGCCTCCTTCTCCTTCCTCTCCTGCAGAATGGCGGCCATCTTTTCCTCCTCCTCCTTCGTGTAAGGTTGGGTGGAAGTACCACCCCGAGTCCCTACTCTACACGTGAACGTGGGCCAGAAGCCCAGAGGAAAGAGGAGACGCCAAAGGGTCCCCCAGAGGGAGAACCCAACGAGCAACCCATACATCGGATAGTCGTCCATCGTGGTGTTAGGTGCACGACAATGTCCCACTCCTCACCACTTAGACCTACCCGGACACATTGACCTACTGACTGACTCTCTAAGATCCACTACTCATAAGTACTCTAGGTTGTCACTACTGAACTAACAGCTGATCAGGAGGCATTTAAGGAGATCCCCCAAACTCCGCAAGAATTATTTAACGTTGCAGTCAGGACGACATGATCAGCATAGTTCTTGCTGGCAATTTCAGCCCACAACTCAGCCGTTCCGGCCTACTGTGCCACACCGAGCAGCCCGCCGGTCTGTACCGGTCCTTGGAGGGGTTCCTATCCCTCGGGACAGTCGAGTCGTCAGACACAGATCATCAGCCTTACTAGGTCCGGTAGGGGAGTGGTTCAACCAGGCCTCAACACTTAAAGTCCGCCTTCGTTTCAGCCTACAGCTCGGAGTTCGGACCCTCTACACTAAACTCAGTAGACTTGTCGGACAGTACCGGTCATTGGGCTAGACGAGTTGTTTAACGAGCGCTCGCCGCTCATGCCCAGGTCTCCAGATGCCAGAGTAGAGATTAGTCCTACTAAGTCCCGTGCAGGTTTGGCAGCAAGGCCCTATCCTTCATCCACAGAGAGCTATCACCTAAGACAGAAGAGACTCAATGCAGAAAGGAAAGACAGACTGACTCAAACTCAGCAAGTACCGTGGGGTAATTGCACATCCACAGGGTAAGGGGATAGGATAAGGGCCCAGCAAGATATCACCAACCCCAGCTTGGTCAAAATCTTGGTCAGCAGCTCCGGTCAACGCCTCGGTCAACGCTGAGTCAACACGGGCAACCCCCCAGTCAACGCTTGGTCAACACCCTCCGTCAACGCCTGGTCCACCCTTTCTCAGCCCTCTGGTCAACGCTCTGGTCAACACCCTGGTCAACCCTTCACCTCGACTACGGCTGCCGGCACCATCACCTTCGTCACCCTCGCCGCTTCCTTCCCCTTCCTTCACTCTTTTTCTTCTTCACTTTTTTTTTTTTTTTTTTTTTTTTGTTCACCCCTGGCTATGTATGTCTTCTTCTCCAACGTCCTCCTTCCACACTTCTTTTTCTCTCTCTCCTTAGCCCCGCCTTCTTTGTCCTCCCTGTCTTTCTCCTTTGGTGCCCTGTGATGAAGCTCCGCCGCTATGGCGGCTATCTTCCTCCTCCGTCGGACAGCGCAGCTCGCCTCACAGGTAAGTGACAACCAATCTTGGATCGCTCATCTCTCTCTCTCTCTCTCTCTCTCTCTCTCTCTCTCTTCCGTCGTAGCGGTATCTTCAGCGCAGCAGGTAAGAACCCAATCTTGTATCTCTCATCTCTCTCTCTCTCGCTCTCTCGGTCTTCTTCGTCGTCGTGGTCTTCTGGTTGCAGGTGCGCGGCGGCTTCTTCCACCTCGAGAACCGCTATGGCGGACTGCCTTCTCCAGCGGCCACTTCAGCTATGGGGCATCGACCCTGCACACAACGGCGCGCGCGGAACAGCGGGTACCAGCTCTGATACCAGTGCATTCAGACTCGACTTATTCACACTTTTCATGCACGTGAACAGCAGCACACAACTGGCGACTTGCGGCCATACAGTACACAGAGATATACCTTCCAGGTAAGTTCGCTTCCACTGGCTATGGAGACTGTGCGCCTCAAACACTCATTGTTCACACTCTGGATCACCTTGGATGTCCCACACGCGATACCCAGTACACAGACACAGTACACACTCTTCCCCTAAGCTACAACTATGGCGGCTATGGCCGCTACTACCCTACGGCTATGGCCACAGTTTGCCACTCTCGCCCTCTTTGTCTTCGGGCCTCCTGCAGACCTCCTCGCACAAGCTGCTGAGGCAGCGCTTCCACATGGCTTCCGCAGGAATGAATAATGGTTGGACGCAGCCTCTTGATTTATACTTCTGTGTTGCGTTGGTCTGCCCTGTGTCCCTTGGCCCCGGGTGCACACAGTCCTAGACGGTACTTGCTGGACAGGACCGGACTGCCTAACTGGGACTGTTGACTCAGCGAAGTGGCCTACCACCACTTGACCACTTGCCTCTGTTCAATGCAGGCTCACTCCGAAAGGCCACTTCTAGAAACCTCTAACTTGGTCTTTCGGTACTGTAGCAGATACGACTTTGCCCCTTCAGGTAAGTAGCAGCTACGACCTTGACTCTTCAGACATCCTACAACTACGATTTCGGAACTGTCTAGACTTCTACCCTACAGGTCTACAGTTCGATTCCCTTCTACCTTGTGACCTATGAAAACCTACCTACCACTGGCGGTCCTACAGGTTGCAGGTTCAAATCTACGGGTTGACACTGGTACTGTACACAGGTAAGACGGGGAACTAGGGATCGAGCCCTGGGATCTGCATTCGCTACTGCGAATTGGTGAATACCGTTTCATATAGATAAATTATCTCTTTTATCAGATATGGTAGTGAATTAGGGGAATAAAACGTAGGCTGGTGGATTCATTCCCAAAGCGATAGACCTCTGCAGTGTCCAAGAATTAAATGAATGTCATTGGCGGCCCCAATTAGAGCGTCAGGTGTGGTTCTGGTAGCACAAGGGGAACCGAATATGAATGACTTATGAATTTATTCACCTGCACTTGAAAAAATGAGGTGATGTGAAAATTAACATATATCTTTATTTGGTAGGACATTGTTAATCAACAATATGAGATTGGCTGCAATTTGGTATAAATCTGCTTTATGGTCACTTAACAAAGGGTCTACCAAGGCATTACAAAGACAACTCACTGCCTTTTTTTGGCGTGGTGATTATGAAACACCACATGGCTTGGAGTACTCAGATCCAGCCCAACGCGTGATAATTGCTACAGACCTCTAATGGCAAACCCTGAGCCTTGAGCAAATTCGGATACCGACCCCTCAATCTACAAGGGAGGTGCACCCTCTTACTTGGGTAGAGGATTGGTATTGGACTATTCCTCGACCTCATGCCCACTCCACTAAGATAGAGGTGAAAGGTGCAGCTATCGGAGGTGCAAACCTCAAAGATTATAATCTCTGCCAGTTAAGGCGGCCTGTTGGTTGCTGCGTCCCAGGATAGATGTTAAGGCTATTGTACAATATCGCTGGGTTTTTCATCTCAACATCTATGACGATTTGCTCAAGCCAGCTAAGTGGTGTCAAGGGTCTAAAGAAAGATCAACAAAGTTTGCTTCATTGCAATGGCAGATAGTTCATAGGAGTTTATCAACCAACAACTGGTTCATACACCACTCTAGGCTGGAACAAAGAGGTTTGGTCGTACCATGGTCCCATTTCTGTGTACGAGTCTTTCCTAATAAAAAAAATAGGGAAATGATCGAACATGTTTTTCTACAATGTCCACGAGCAATCTTGTTATGGCATTATGTTTGGCAAAGATTGACAAGCCTAGAATGGTCATGGGATTGGAGGGCAATTCTTTTGGGCTGGAATCTATGTTGCACGCCCGGCCGCGGCCGGGGGGTCCGAATCGGTCGTGGCCGAGGCCGATGACCGAATCGGCCTGGTTCGGCCTAGGCCGACCAACCGAGTTTGGTACATGATTTTTTTCCCTCATTTTTCACGTGTAAAAAAAAAATAGAAAAATATAGGTGTGTAGGGCTGAAAAAGCCCTACACGCCCATATTTTTTTTTGGGGTGTCGGGCCTCCGCGCAGCGCAGGAAAAAAAAACGAAAAAAAAAAAAAAAGGGCCCGGTGGGCCGTTTTGGCCCTATTTCGGTGCCAACGGGTGACGGGCACCGTGTGGGCAGTGTGAGGAGGGCCGTTTCAGATAAATGTTGTTGCCACTTCAGATAAATGCTGCCATTTATCTGAAACGGCAACAGTTATTGCTGTTGCCGTTATGCTGCCGAAATACCTGGTCGCACGGTGAGAGAGAGAGAGAGAGAGAGAGAGAGAGATCGTTGAGAGATCGTTGAGAGAGAGAGAGAGAGAGAGATCTTCTTCTTCTTCTTCTTCTTCTTCTTCTTCTTGGTGCGCAGTTGGCAGCGGCGCGCGCCGCGCGACCTGGCGGGACAGCGCCTCGACATCGAGCAGTGGCCGCCCGACGGCCCTCGCCATGGCCACGCGCGACCTTTTTCATCGCGCTGCCATTTTAGTGCCCGGCTGCGGCCGAACGCGGCCGAACACTGCCGTACAGGGCCGAACAGGGCCGAACGTGGGCGGACGCGGCCGTTTCAGGTAGCGGTTGTGCGTGGGGCCAACCGGCCGGGATCGACGGGGAGCACGGGCGTCGGCGACATCAGGGGGACGCGACAGTGGCGGCAACGGGGACGTCAGGGACTGCGTCGAAGGTGCGGCACGGTCCGACGACATCGACGGTCATCGCGACAACTTCTTGGATTCGGGTGGGGGGACGATGACGGGGGGTGCAGGGTCCAGCGGTGCGGGGGGGTCTGGGGGTGCCCAGTTCAACCCGCTGTCGGAGAGGGAGATGGCGAAGTTGAGGCGGGGGAACTTGGTTTGGAACTTCCTCACCGTGGGGCAGTACGTCGGGGAGTAGTCCAAGATGCATGGGAACCGAAAGTTGCGTTGCAACTTATGCGGCCACTTGTTTCAGGGGGGGTCGTCGAAGGCCGCGCGCCATTTCATGCAGTCGAAGTACTGCAAGGTTGGGGGGATGAGAGTTCTCGCGGAACTCTGAAACGGCACGGATTACACATTCGTGCCTTCCACTGCTCAGCAGGTGCAGAGGTGGACGGCAGACAAGGGGATACAGGACACGAGAGCGCCCGCGGGTGGCCAGCGACAGCGGATGGACGACGGAGAGAGGGACGACTTTCAGGACGCCCTCGATGAGGAGGAGAGACGCGAGGGTGGGGCCAGCGAGGAGGGGTTGGCAGACGAGGCAGACGAGGCAGTCGGAGAGCCTAACCTGCCAGGGGAAGAGGTGGTGATGACGTCGAGAGGCGTCGGTCGAGCGGCTCCCGCTCTTAGGGCGCCGCGACCTGAGTTGGAGCGCGCTAGGAGGGAGAAGAGGGGAGTGGGGGAAGCTGACCTCGAGGTGCGAGACACGGGCAAGGAGAAGAGGGCTCGACAGACGACGATTGACGAGATGTACGCCAAGGAGAAGTTGGCCGAGTTCACAGATGCGTGGCTGCAGTGGATCTACGCGAAGGGGTCGCCATTCAACGCCTTCCGTGGTCTGGAGTTCCAGAGGGTGTGGCAGGCGGCAGAGAGAGTGCCAGTATCCCTTCGCAGAGGGCGAAGGTGGCGACGATGGTGAGCGTGGTGTGCGCCGCTTTCCGGCAGAGCGGTGCCACCATCCTCTCCGACGGGAGGAAGTTGCGCAGCGGCAAGCCGCTCGTGAACTTCCTCGCCGGACGCGCCAATGGCGCCCTGCTATACGCCACCGTCGCACATGACGACTCGGTCGGAGACACAGCAGACGTCGTGTACCGTAGGTGGCGGGCCATCATCTTGTCCTTTCCTCCAAAGGACGTGATCGGCTTCTGCACAGACTCCGCCAGTAACTATACGGCGGGAGCGCGCAGATTCGCCACTGGCCCTGAGCCCGACATCAGGAGGATCACTTGGCTCCCCTGCTCCACCCATGTCTGGAACTTGATGTTGTCAGATATCGGGACGGGAGTGGGGTGGGTCAAGGACACCATCATCCACGCTCGAGCGCTTGTGCGATTTATTAAATCGCACGGCGCTGCTCACGCCCTGTTTAGGAAGGTGAGCCCTCTCGTTCAGCTCGTTGAGCCCGTTGAGACACAGTTCGCATCGGTTTTCCTGAGGCTGGCATGTCTCAAAGGCCGATGAGACGCGTTGGAGAGCATGTTGCACGGGGATGCTTGGGCACGCATCCCGTGGGAGCGCAGGCATGTATCGCAGGCGTAGTGGGTGCAGCAGCAGATCCGCGACGCGGAGTTTTGGCGTTGTGTCCAGTACACCCTCCTTATCATGGCGCCCGTCCACCAGCTGTTGCGCAGGATGGATAGGGGGGGGATGATGATGTCCGTCGTTTACGAGTGGATTCAGCATATGCTGCAGTTGATGAGGAGGGTCGACGTGCCGGAGGACATGATCGAGCCGTGCGTGCGTGAGGTTGCCATCCGCAACCTCCACATGCTAGAGCCCGCACATGCCGCGACCCACCTCCTCAACCCTCGTCGAAGGTCCCTCACGTATTACCATTCGTTAGAAACGACCGCGGATGACGCCCGTGTGGTCGAGGAGTGCGAATCGGTCTCTTTCCGATGCCGAGGCGGACGATTGCAGGGGGGACCGTGAGACCGAGCGATGTGCAGCGTGGTGGTTTGACCATGGACGGGCCCACCCGGAGTTGCGCACCATCGCCATCCGTGTCATGCACTTGTGGACGTCTGCCTCTCCAGCGGAGAGGAACTGGGCGGCACACGAGCGCATCAACACGGCGAGGCGCGTCAAGCTTGGGTTTGCCAAGCTTGCACAGCTGGTTGAGATTGCCACCAATCTCAAACCGGCCTCGTGCGCACGGCAGGGTGGTGGCTACGTGCTGCCATGGGCAATGGGAACCGGTCGGGAGGGGACAGCGGCAGAGGACGAGGATGAGGAGGGAGACGGGGAGCCCGAGGTGTGGGGAGCGCGACCTGCTTGCAGTGTTCCCGAGCAGGAGATCCAGCGGCAGATTGTCGCTTTCCATGGCGGCCGACTGTCTAGAGCCCATTCGGTTCGGGACGTGTTTGGCAAGAGGGCGACGGAGCTGCGACCATGGCCAGAGGGTGGGGATGATGCGGACGCTGCTGCGGCAGACGACTACGTCGACGACGAGTGGACAAACGATGATGACACGCCGCTGAGTGGCGACCCGACGGCTGAGCGGGTGTACTTCACTTACGGTGGGGGACGTGATGGCATGGATTCATTCACATCAGTTATCACTGGTGGTGTGCCGTCGACCGCACAGGCGAGTGGCAGCAGCAGAGCCGGTGGTGGTCGTGGAGGACGTTCGCATGCGGAGGTTGGCGTCGACGACTTGGGGGAGCAGCAGCCACGGGGAGGTCTTCGGCAGACAGGCAGGCGTTGAGAGGGTAGGAGCGATAGCGAGGCCGAGGAGGAGGCCGAGGATGAGCGGGCGCCCCTTCACGATCGTTGCTTCTCTCCCTCCCATCATCGGAGCACTGCACAGCCCGAGGCACTTAGGCATTCGGAGAGGTTGGCGTCGGCAGCAAGCAGAGACCGGACACATGACGGTGACGATCGTGGGGGGGAGAGGACTCCTTCCGACGTCGGTATCCGCACCCGCTCGCCGTCGGAACACCGCACACACGACTTTGACGTCGAAGGGCTTGGTGGGGGCTTGGGAGATTTCAGTGTCAAGGGACGTCGACGTGCTTCACCGTCGAAGGTGCGCACCGACGCGGATGTTGTGCGGGGCCCTGTTGAGACTGAGGACGAGAGGGATGCCCGTTTGGACCGAGAGGAGGAGGAGTGGCTGGGGAGTTTGCCACGATGGGAGGGTCGGTTCGCGTATCTTGACGAGCAGCGTCGGCAGAGGGAGTCGGAGACAGGAGGGGGCGGAGGCCGTGACGACGACGACTCGGGTGTCCCTGAGGAGGCAGTTTAAGGGGAGTTCGATGATGAGGGACAAGATCCCGCCGCGGGTAGCGGGTCAGGTGGTGGACGCCGCGGCGACGGGGAGACCGCGGGTGATGAGGGGCAGGATGTTGTCATGGGCGGTGGGTCCCCTCGTGGGGGACGTGGCGACGGCAAGACCGCGGGTGATGAGGGACAGGGTGCCGCCGTATGTGGCAGAGGAGAGGGTGGGTCCGGTGGAGATGGGGATACTGCGGGTGTCGGGGTAGACGATGGACCGGACGGAGATGATGACGACGACCACGGTCCCAAGGACGATGCGTATAGGCTCGCCTTGGTGTTGAGGGACCCCACAGTACCTCCCTTGCTCCCTAAGGACTCAGCGCACACTTTCTTCGACGTCGACGCTTTGGCGCAAGCGTTGACGGATAACCCTTTCGCACACATGGGCCGCGTGAGCGGCAATAGGCGGGCCCCTGGGAGGGTGTACTCACCGCCGCCGTTCGAGGTGCAGAGCCCTCTATGGTCGGGTTCGTCGCTCAGCGGCGTGAGAGGGAGGGAGTCTGGTGCGGGTGAGGTGGGGTCCGACAGACGCAGCGATGGCGGCAGAGACAGTGCTGGATCGATGCCTCCGCCGCCCGCACGGACTCCGGAGGCTGTGGTCGACTTCGGGGACCAGACGGCGGCACCCGGAGTTCCGCACAGTGGCGGTTCCCCGCCGACAGTCCGAGGTGGTGTGGGTGGCGGATGGTCAGTTGTTCGTCGGGTTGGGGACCAGTTGCGGGCGGATTACGACACTGGGAGGGGCGTCTTCTCGGGATGTACGCCAGTTCAGACCCAGGCTGGGGAGGGTGGGTCAGGACGTCCGAGCCTGCAGATGGCAGGCCGCATGCTCGGTTTGTCACGAGCGGAGGGACATCCACGGACATGCTGCGGGGACAGCAGTACACATCGGGCAAGGAGGGGTTGTTGATGCGTCCCGGAACGAGACGACAACGCGGCCTCTTGGAGGTTGAGGCTCGACTCGCGGCAGGGGTCGCCGCTGGCCATGCAGCATTGAACGCGATTCAGAGGGAGAGAGAGATGGGGTTTGCTGCACGGGCGGCGGAGGACGAGGACGCAGACACAAAGTCCGAGCCGATCGAGACTGCGACCCACAGACACAGGGCACAGGTGGCCGCGGCAGCCACTGCAGCACAGCCCGCATACCTCAGCGGGGCACGGGGCACAGGTGCCGGAGGGAGAGGAGGGCGCCGGGGAGGACCGCATGGATGCCCGTCCTCCGGGAGAGGCCGCGCGAGCTCTGGAGGGAGATGATGACATCCGTGGGATGAAAGGAAAAAATCGTTGTTAAACTGCTGGTACACCACTTCTTTCGCAAACTCGTTTTGTAATACAATCTCACAAAGGTTCCGTTGTACACCGACTCATCAGTGCTTTGGTTCCGTTGATTTCAGGTTGGGGAAACTACTTTAAGTTTTTTTGTTTTTTTTTTTGCGTGGCTGTACAGCGTTGACGCTCTATCGGCAGGGTTGTTGCATATCTATGTCTTTGTTGTTCCATGGAGATGACGACAGTATGTGGACATTAGTTGTTTTTTTCCTTTTTTTTTTGGCTACTCGGTTGTACAGTAGAGACGACGGGTCCAGTTTTTGGCTTCAGCCTCGTACATACGCATTTCCATCGAAATGCTTTGTCAGTAGGGTCCTGTTTTGTTTTTGCTACTCGGTTGTACAGTAGAAACGACGGGTCCAATTTTTGGCTTCAGCCTTGTACATACGCATTTCCATTGAAATGCTTTGTCATATATTTGCTCTTGTTCGTGTTCCTCTACCAACATTGGTCTTGCATCTGAGTCGCTGTTGTTTGGTGACTGGTTTCTGGTTTGTTGTCGTGATTGTTGCAAATTATGTACTTCTGTGATGCCACGCATCTGCATGTCATGGATGCCTCCATTATGAATGTGCTGTTAGTTTTGGATGCCAAATAGGGATGATGTGCTAATGAATGTGTTCTTACACAAACTTCCACCAGTCTGATGAGTGAACACACACTATGACACACTTGCCTGTTAACATTGTTTGAAACTTATGGTTGGCCGCACTGTGATTGATTGTGAATGTGTTGTGACTTTGGTATGCCAACCAGGGTCTGACCTATAATTGCCATGAATGTGTTGTTTCAAAATATGTCACGACCTGTCATCACCCTCACGAATGAAATCGACGCCTGCCTGAGGCCTTGATCTGCCTGGGGTCTGCCATCTGCAGCCCCGTCCAGCTTCGACCCGACCTGGCCGCACGGGCCGCCCCAACCAGGCCCTCATCCAACCCCCGTTGGCCCTCCCCCGCAGGGGTCAAATCTTTATTTTTATTTTTCCAGTGTTCCAGACCCTCCTCCCTGTGACCCCGCATCGACGAACCCGCACGCGCCCGACGCACGAATTTTCGCGGCCCACCCTTCCAGGGCCATGTGCAGGACACCCCCGTTTTTTATTTTTTTGACGCTCTGCCACTGTGAGGGGGTGCCCCCCCACCCCCCCACCTCAAACCCACTCCCCACTTCGGAAACCGCCCCCCGCGTCGTTCGAGGCCGAGGCCGAAAAAACTCGGCCGGACCGGCCGCGGCTGGGGGGGTCCCGGCCTAGGCCGGCGGCCGCAGGCCGAAACCAGCCGCGGCCAGCGTCAACATAGGCTGGAATCCTCTCTTAATTTCATTATCTAATTTTCAACAAAATTTCTGTCATATAGGAAGGAAAGTGCTTTTGTGGACTTTGCGGTACCAAAGGTGTGTTAACACAATGGAAGACGTGAAGATTGAAGGCATGGAAATGGCGGATTTAATTCAGCAATTGGTACAAACAGAACTCAAAGCTCACTGGAAAAAAGCAAAAACAGGAATGGTAGCTCTTAAAAAAAAAAAAAAAAAAACATTAAGCAGAGAGTCAAAAATTGAATTTGGACTGCCTGGGGGATGCATCAGGGAAAAAACTGGAGGAGGTGGTATGGCCAGGAGGGGAAAGGGATCAGGTGTCCTTCAAGCGTGATTACCAGATCATCTTTCAAGACTGGTTTGACATCCAACCAGGAGCTTCCCTGAGAACGCTCGTATCTTTTTCTGACCACTTCCCTCCTTCTAAGCTGGCTTTAGCGGATCTTCAGTGGTATGAGGGGGGAGAAGGATAATAGGCTGATAGAAGGAATTGGTGTGATTTTGTTGGGTTTTGGGGCGTTAAAATGCAGTCTTGAAGGAGAATCTGCTTGTTGCATCACTTGTACCAGGCGGCTGGGAAGCTGGCATAAGAGGCAGTTCAATCCTCAAAAATGGATAGGTCTAGTAGCATCATCACCATATTAGTACCAATATGACCAGTAGCATTATCAGTAGATGCTTAGTTCAATTTTTTTATAGAGTTGTAGCATGGTTCGCTTCTTGACTAAAGGGTGGGGGTTAGGAAGGCAGGGTAGCTTGTTGTCATTACACCACATGTCTGTTCCAAAAAACAGTTTCAATGTCTAGGGACGCTGGACCCGCTTTCCAGCAGGTGGAGCTCCCCACCAATAGATGGAGCCTTCCTAGGACTGTTAGCGGTGTCTGCTCTTATCAGCACCGCTGGCGTTGGCTAGGGGTTGTCTTAAACCACTAGTACCTCCGTGTTGGGAAATTACGATGTTTTGCCAGTTCCCGAAGTTATCGGGAGTCCCAATAGGCTCGGAATGGATTCAGTGTCCCAAAAATAAAACGATTTTGTAATTTTTTTTTCGATCCTGCTCAGACATTGGCAGGCCCATGATCGTTCCTGGACAGCGGGCGCGTTGTGGAAACACTACCGAGTCCTACCGAGGACGGGTTGGAGCGTGGCAGATCGGCCGGTCGCTGGTCTGCGGTCGGGCGGTGGATGGTGGGTGACTGGACGACCGCCTTCGCGGCCGACCACCTTGCATCGACGCGCGAAGGACCGCCTCCTTCGGACCTCCCGCTGTACGGCTCTCCGCGGGTCGCCATCGCCATCGCCTCTCTCTCTCTCTCTCTCTCTCTCTCTCTCTCTCTCTCTCTCTCTCTCTCTCTCTCTCTCTCTCTCTCT